CACATGTATAATTTCCATGTAGCTGGATGTGTCTGGCTCCCATCGCTTCTAGCAAAACATCTTCTCTGACCTGGCTTGTGATTGTGTAATTGTTCCATGAAGCCTGGCTTCTCTCAGACTTGACAAATGTGAAGTCCACAGACAAACAATGGATCAGTTAACCCAAACTTCACAGGATTGTAAAGACTTGTGATGTGTCTTAGAAACATGAGACATCTGAAGAAAGGACAGTAGGACAACATGTCTTACATTTGCCCAGCACTTTTCAGTTATAAATACCTTATGTATTTATACATGTATATGTGTGTCTTAAGCCTTCCAAAAATCCAACAAATTAGGATAGTATAGTGTAAGGGTGCATTCCTGTCTTACAGTGGGGTGGAGTTTGTTCAATCCAGGAGAAGATAGTGAATTTGAGAAAAAGTATTTTAAAAGGAGTCTGAAGCCATGGCTTCTAGTCCTGCTTTATTTATTAATTTATTAATTTTTTATTGCATTTTAGGTTGTGGGGTACATTTGAAGAACATGCAAGATAGTTGCATAGGTACACACATGGCAGTGTGATTTGCTGCCTTCCTCCCCCTCACCTATATCTGGCATTTCTCCCCATGCTATCTCTCCCCAACTCCCCATCCCCTACTGTCCCTCCTCTGTTTCCCACCAACAGACCCCAGTGTGTAGTGCTCCCCTCCCTGTGTCCATGTGTTCGAATTGTTCAACACCCACCTATGAGTGAGAACATGTGGTGTTTGATTTTCTGCTCTTGTGTCAGTTTACTGAGAATGATGGTTTCCATGTTCTTCCATGTTCCTACAAAGGACACGAACTCATAGTTTTTGATGGCTGCATAATATTCCATGGTGTATATGTGCCACATTTTCCCTGTCCAGTCTATCATAATGCCCATCAATGATAGTCCTGATTCATTTTATTTTATTTTTAGCTGAGTGTCTTTCAAAGATCATTTCACCTCTCTGGACCTCAATTTCTTCATCAGCAGTGAGGATCTGAATAACTTCCCTGACCACCTAATAGAGCTATTTTAAAATTTATATAAGTTAATAAATGAGAAACATTTTATAAGTGTAAAGTAGTATTCTAAAATCAAGTGTTGTTTTGTTATTAGTGTCATAGATGATATGTAATATAGCAATTCTTAATTGCTTTTTTAAAATAACAATGACCAAGAATAAGAATGCAACCATTAGTGTTAATGAATATTAGTTATTAGTTGTGATATGAGAGGGGGGAAAGTAGACATAGGATTCCTCACCTGCTCACTGTTCCTGGGCAGCCTCTGCAGGCAGGTGTCCCTGGCCCCAGGGGGAGCACAGCAGAATGCACTTTAGCTGCTGATAATTTACTCCAAAACAGAAGGGTGGGAGGGCTGGAGAATGTGGCCTGCCTGTGAGGGCCGAGTTGGACTCTTTACACGGAGGCTGACTGACTCACACAGTCCCGGAAGCCTGGAACCAGAAGACGCCTTTCTCCAAAGTCCTCGAAGTAGAGAAGAGCAATGCTTTCACAAAGAAAAAGCGGAAGAGGCTGGATTGTGTCAGTTCTGTTTCTGCTTCCAAACTCACCATTCTTCTTGGGTGGGAGATGCAGGGAGTGGGAAGAGGAGAGAGTGAATAAGGGAGTAGAGAGAGGCCAGGAACATTACATCAATAGATGTCCTTCTGAGAAACTAGGATTTGCAATTTCCCGAACAGTATTACTTCAGTATCATTGCTCTTCACTTTACATCACAAGAGCCATGTTTGGAATTTATTTCATAGGCAGTTAGAACTCCTTGCAGAATCAACCTTGGTATCCTGCCCTGGACAACATCTTGTTTTCCTTTTGCTTCCCCCCTCCCCTCCCCTGCCCTCCCCTCCCTTCCCCTCCCCTCTCCTCCCCTCTTTTCCCCTCCCCTCCTTTTCTTTCCCTTCCTTTCCCTTCCCTTCCTCACTTCTTTTGTTTCAAAAGCACAGTCACTTTAATATGATCCTGCAACAGCCTTAGGAGAGAGGAATAGTAGGTGATATTATTCTCATTTTAGAGGAGAGGAAAATGAAATACAGAGTTGAATGATTTGCCTCAGATCACAGAAAATGGCCATGGCAGAGTTGGAACAAGCACATAAACCTCTGACTGCTGGGCCAAGGCCCTTGTGGGTTATCATGCTACTGCTGAGACATTGGAGTGACAGCTTATGGACAGTACAGTTTTAAAGGTAGTCATTGTTGGGAAATCGTGTATGCTCAAAATGATACTGATCCCTGTGGGTTTGCATTTAAAGGCACAATGTATCTCTGGACCCCAGGATCAGATTCCCAGATGTTTGACATCCTCACATGAGACAAGCTGAAGTTGAGGCAGACTTAAAGAGCCACAGATTCCCATATCCCTCTTCATCCTCACTCAAGGGAACATGGCGAGTGCTTAGGGTAGAATGCAGGGCAGGACCATCTACCACTGTGAGAAGAAACACAAGTGCTTACTATGTTCTAGTGCCTGCTCCAAACACTTTACATGTATGATGTCATGTAACCTTCACAGCAATTCTAAATTATTTGTATTTAATTGTCCCCCCCTTTTTTTTTTTAACAAATGCAGAGGTTAAGGTAGAAGAAGTTAAGTGATATGTCACATGCCATATGATTAGCACTTGATGAGGCTGCAGTCTGAATCCATAAAATTTGGATTCAGGGGTAATAAACATCACCACCGAAGTTGGCTGCCTCATGGGAATGTACACCTGTGTGCATGCATGTGTATTTGAATTGTTCCTAGTATGTTTGGATTAGGCAAATTTAAGATACTCACAATGTAACTTTATTCTCAATCCTATTATCCTGTATTTTAAAGCTCTAGATTTTAGAATCTTTAATCTCTCTGAAGGTAATTTCTCAATAATGACTTCCACTGCAGGGCAGAGGTGATGTCTTATTTATCTTCACAACCCTTTTAGTTTCTTTAGCATTGTGCCTGCCCATAGTATATGTGCTTAAAATATTTACTAAATGAATTCCTGCTATCATTTTCTTTTTTAGCTTTCATTTTAAATTCAGGTTAATCACGTAGGTAAACTTTTGTCATGGGGGTTTGTTGTACAGATTATTTCATCTCCCAGGTGTTAAGCCTATTACTCACTTGTTATTTTCCCTAATCCTGTCCCTCCTCTCACTCTCTACCCTCAGAAAGGCCTCAATGTATGTTGTTCCCCTCTATGTGTTCATGTGTTCTCACTCTTTAGCTCCCACTTAAAAGTGAGAACATGGGGTATTTGGTTTTCTGTTTATAACAGTTTTTTTTTTTATTATTGTTTTTGTAGTGTTTTGAAAAACTACATGGATATATTTCTTAGAAGCCTTGTTTGCTTGTAAAAATCTTGATTAGAAAAAAACATGTCTCCCTTGTAACTGTTACTTTATTGATCTCTGAAATTATGGTTTTATTAGTATCACGCCATGCACCTGGGTATTTGAGACTAAGCAGAGGAATTATTAATGTCTTCCAAAGAGTCAATAAATGTTTGATTATTTAAAATTTCAGGGTCTCAATTTATTTTCTCATCTGTAAAATAAGAAATTCAGATTAGATGATACTTAGCCTACCAGCATTAAGATTTTATGATCTTACTCAGGCCATTTAGATATTTTCAAACACCCTGATATTTGGCATAACAAAGCTCAGTTACCTAGACATCAAATTTGCTTTTCCAATTTTTATATTCATTATTAATGAGGATGCTGTCTAAGCAGGCATACAAGGTGACTTCTGCTTGGATATTCTTCCTTAGCAAACTTACAGTCACTCTTTATGACCCAGGTCTGACATTACCTCCTCTGGTAAGCTTCTCCCAGTCCTCTTATCCCTCCCTGAATTCTCCAGGTTGAGTGAGTTTCTAATTATCTTGGTCTCATTTTACCCTGAACATATTTCTGTTGTTGGATTTAACCCCTCTTCTTCATTAGTCTGTGAGCACCTTAGAAAGAGGATATTCTTCCTCTTGAGGTTGCTAAGCTCACTAGTTTCACTTCCCTTACTGTGAAGTCTGCACTGCATAAAGCAGAGCCAAGGAGGGAAAGAAGCATGTACAGAAAGCATCAGCTGAGCCCCTGGATCCAGTTATGTCTAGAACTTTTTGTTTCAGTTAATTGAACCAAAGCCGTCTCCCTCTTCCTGTCCCTCAGTCTAGATTCAGTTGGATTCCTATCAATTGCAAACAAAAGATTTATAGTTTCTGACCTCAAGAGGCTCTGTCTAGTAGGAGAGATAGATACATAACTGAACTATTGCAAAATAATTCTAGGGAAGAGTTCAATGCATCGCGTGCTACAAGAGTTCAGCAGAAGTGTTCCTTACCTGTTAAGTTCTAGTGCCCAGAGTGTAGACTATAGATAAGCAACATCAACAGCACCTGTGAGTTTGCTGGAAATGCAATCCCCCCATTTCAGCCCTATTCAAAGAGAATCTGCATATTAACAAGGTATTCAGGTAATTTATTTGTACATTAGTTTGCGGAAGAGCTGCTCTCAATGACAGTGGGAGGGACTACTGACTGACATTTTCCCATAAAGAATGACACCTAAGATGAATTTTCAAGGATGATTAGGACCCTACTCCAGGAAGAATGATGGGGAGCAGAAGGAGTGGGCAGAAGTTTCTAGGCAGAGAGAGCAGTGGTAAGAGAAACAGGAATGGTGGCAACTTTGAACACAAGTGAGCAGGTAATGGTGAGAACATGGCTGAACAAGTTGCTCAGATGTGATTTGTTGTAAGTCACAGGGGGCACTTCACAATAGCAACACATTATTTTTGAGGGATCTTCAGGCCCACCTCCGGACTTTGGTGACTAGAAATCCATGGTAAAGGGAGAAATTTACTATATGACTCTCTTAACAACCACCAGTCGGAGGAATGATTCACTTCCTGGATTTACCATTGCTGCAGTTAGAAAGGCTTACAAATGATCATCGATCTCCCAAACACATACTGCCCATATTACAGTCAACTTTCTTATTTCCTAAGATTGCCAGGGTTTGCCTTTTAATGGCTAGTCTTGAATTGATTCAAGACTGGCAATCAATGGCAAATCTTGAGGCTTTCCCCGAAGACCACTTCTGATTGTGTTCTGATACTAACATCAGTCAGTGACTGCATTTTCCTGAGTTATACACCCCATCTTCCAGAGAGGTGGGTGAGCAGAAAATGTCTCTGCTTAAGTTCTTTTGTTTACCTTTTTTGGAGTTTGTAGGGAGACGGGAGGAGATGAAATTTGGAAGAAAACTGTGAATAAAAAAAGTGAAGTAAGATGAGATTACATTAAATTTATGACATGACAGGGCAGGCTCATTTTGCTTCATGAATAATAGTTAATCACTGTTTGAATCAGAGACTATTTACTAGCTGGTTCTCATAAATCAGGGCTGGGGAGTAGAAATATTTATCATGGGCTAATGTCATATGACTTTAATATAGCCAAATATTTTAATAAGATTGAAGAGTCTTAGACAGAAATGTTTTAAGTGACGGCAGTTCTCAAGGCACTCAGAGAAGAACCTTAGGATTTTTGAAGTCAGGTGCTGTCCTCTAAAAATTCAGCTTTAGGTCGGGCATGGTAGCTCATGCCTGTAATCCCAGCACTTTAGGAGGCGGATGTAGATGGATCACGAGGTTGGGAGATTGAGACCATTCTGGCCAACATAGTGAACCCCCATTTCTACAAAAAAAAAAAAAAAAAGAAACAGCTGGGTGTGGTAGTCCATGCCTGTAATCCCAGCTACTGAGGAGTCTGAGGCATGAGAATCACTTGAACCCAGGAGGTAGAGGTTGCAGCAAGCTGAGGTCATGCCACTGCACTCCAGCCTGGTGACAGAACAAGGCTCCATCTCAAAAAAAAAAAAAAAAATTTGAGCTTTAGTGATGTCTATGTTCTCCCCACACCTGGTCTCTCCTGCCTTCTCCACCCCTGGCACATGAGATGGGGCCAGATTAATGGTACCTGGGTCATTTTCTTGACCTTTTTTCCCTGTTTATATAAGCTATTAAATGTAATTTATTGTCAGAAATATATTATAAATGTGAACACATTTACAGCTATTAGAGGGAGTCAAATGAAGGAGGTTACTTGATGCAGGAGAAGCAGCACAGGCTGGTGAGCCTAGTATCCATGAGATTTCATTTCAATTCCAAAACTTGCTGCGGGACCTTGAGCAAGTCACTGCTCATTGTTAGTCTTCATTCTTCAAGGGAATTGAATTCTGTAAACCCATTGGGTTCTCTGTCTTCTCTGATGAATCCCCTATGCAATTTTTATACCAATAAGATACTTGATTTTAAGTATTTTTTTCTCTAACATCTTTTAGAGAAAAGGAAAATACAATTCAAAAGGGCATACATGGATAGTGCTTACAGAAATTAATGAAGGACACAAAAATATGTTGCTTAGGATTTTTAGGGGAAGAAAAGGATTGGATCTTGGATAAGTGCTGTCTCTGTGAATTGATTAATTGGTAGTTTCACTATTTAACATGCGTCTCTGTACCCCAGCTGTGTGCAGGGTGCTAGATGAATAAAGCAGTATGATTTTTATGTTTACAATCTGGGGGAAGATTACTGGGCCACATGATATAGTCTAGCATAATTACTAGCATATGATCTAGAAATTATGATCTGATAGAATCTAATAGAATTGATCTAATAGAATCAACTTTAACAGGAGTCTTTGGGAACAGCAGTGAATCCTGGGGAAGCTGAGGGGTACTTCAAAGTTAGGTGGGAACTGAGTTGGTTCTTGAAAAATGAGTGAGAGTTTGTGAACCTGGGTTTGGCAAGGGGAAGGAGCAGGGAATAATGAGAAGAAAGTAAAGTGCAACTGTAGCTGAGGCTCCCCTCCCTGCCCACCCTCACTATTCGTGGTGGAAGGGCACTTCTAGAAATGGACGACTGATACGGCCTTAATGAAATGTGAGGTGCCAATGGAATCTATATCTGCAACCACAACCAAACTGCTATGCTTCCAACACAGAAAATCTGCAGCAGTCCCTGTGGGAAGGAGAAGAGCGGCTTGGACAATGTGATTGAAAATATGGGTTACTGAGTAACTTTCAAAGCTAATAGTTATGATGGAAAGCAGTGGAAACCTCATTTCTTTGTGATTACCTTGGATAGGGGTGGAGGAGGTCTGAGGAGAGACCTGGCCAAAGGAGAATCCAGGAAAAGGGATCTTCAGATCTTCAATGAACCACAAATGCTCCACTCCCATGAGTTTCCCCTTCCATTCAGAGACGTTGAATCCATGTAGCTGATCCGTCCACTTCACTTTCCACTGCTGCCCATTTCAGAAATGTAACTTAGTGTTCAAGACCCGTGTCTATACAAAGCCTACACAATTTTTTTGAAAAGCTCAGCTAGGAAAGAGGGAACTGCGACTGGTTCTTACCAGAAGAGTATGTGTGGTTGCGATACATTTTTTCAAAAGATGGGCTTTTTGGAGTATATTCAACTGTTGATGGGAAGGAATCTGGCTGAATGAGATTTTATGGAGGGAGAAAATAGATTGTTGATGGTGTAACATCTTCTGAGAAAAAGAGAAGGAATGGGACCCAGTGTGTAAGAAAAGGAAGGGTCTGGAACAAGAGAAATTGCTCTTCTATTAGTACAAGAATAGAGTTAAAAAAAAAAAAAAGGTTAGGAAGCTTTTGTAGGTTCTAGGGGGTGTCTGAATGGTTTTTGTTTTCGCTGAGAAACCTCATGCCAGGTCATCTGCTAAGAGTGAAATGAGGGAAAAGAGTGGGAAGTGGAGTTCTAAAGAGAAATAGATGAGTTTTGAAACAATTGTGAAAAGTTGGAGAAAGTATCAGCCAGAGAAACATATAAATATTCCCAAGGTGCAGTGGAGGTTGTGGGATGGCTCCAATGTGCTCACTGTGCTTGACAACTTATTTGCCCCTCAAAATTCACTTCTATCCCTCCAGAGCCTGACTGTACCGCTACACTGACCATCTCTTTTGCTTTTTGGGAGGTTTTGTCCATGGGAAGAACTAGCAGGAGATCAGAGGAAGGGAGGAAAAGATTGTGGTCTTGATTGCATTGGTTTTCTCACTGTGGGGGCTGCAAGAGTCTAGTTGTGTCTTTCAGCTGAAGGTCCTGGGTCTACTCAGGTTGCCAAGTCTCTGGGTTTGGGTAACTGTTTCTCCCCTATCCCCTCTCAGGCCTTGGTATAATAAATTCACCCTGGGTGTTGCTAGTCCTGGTACTGCAAGCTCCTCTGTGGGGTTCCCAAAGCAGTGCTCACAGCTTTGTGAATAGTAGCCTTATTAAGTTTTTCCTAAATTACCCAATTTTGAATTTGCTATGTGTTTCTTGCTAAGACCTTGATTGATATACCTGCTTATATCTTTTTCTCCAGCAATGCTTAGCTGCCCATACATAGACAGAAAAAAGGACTTTTTAGACAGGATCTTCTCCTGTCACCCTGGCTGGAGTGTAGTGGTACAATCATGGCTCACTGCAGCCTCAAACTCCTGGGCTCAAGCAATCCCTGAGTAGCTGGGACTACAGGCATATGCCACCACATCCAGCTAATTATCATTATTATTATTTTGGAAATACACTCTTACTACAATACCAGGCTGAGCTCCTGGCCTCAAGCAACTCTCCTGCATTGGCTTCCCAAAGTTCTGGGATTGCACGCATGTGTCACCATGCCCAGCTAGTTAATTTGCTTTTCTTTTTGCTAATTTCGGGTCTTGCTATGTTGCCTAGGCTAGTCTTGAACTCCTGGGCTAAAGGGATCTTCGTGTCTTGGCTTCCCAAAGTGTAGGGATTATGAGTGTGAGCCATTACACCTGCCCAAGGATAGAATTTTTATAGTTAAATATGATAAAGAGACAGACAAAGAGGGAGGAGGGGCAGAAGGTTTGGAATACTTTTATCCAAAAGTTATTGAAATGATACGCCATACAAACTGCTTATGATGGAGAAAGCAGTAAGTGCAGAAAACGGCTCCTGGCTCAGGGAGTGGGGTCAGCTTACACTAGATTTCAATACTGAGAAGTGAGTGATATGAAGACATGACTAGAAAGACGGAGGAGAAGTTGTGATCAGAGAGTGGGATAGTGAGTTTGTGACTTCAGAAGTGGAGCAGTTTCATGACATGATGACACTTAGTTGATGGCAGAGGTGGGTAGAATAAAGCATACTTTGAGATGGAAGTTCAAAAATCAAAGCAGCCAAGTGGATAACTCATTTATATTCTCACTGAGGTCAACAATGATGAAAAATGAAATTTGAGGGAAACACTCTGGGTCAGGTGTCATATCTTTAATGAATGAAATGGAGTAACTAGGAGTTTAATAGAAGACAGAAACTAGTAGACAGGAATGGTCAAAGAAAATGTCTTGATTCTTAAAGGAACAGGAATTTCAGAAAAGCACCAGGAAGAACCAGGGGGTTGTAGAGTGGTGTATTTAATTGCTTCATAACTGTGAAAAGAGGTGGCTGTTGAGAGAATTGTAGGAGAAGCAATGTCCTTGAAGGAGAGCCAGGCTTCTGTCCAGGCAGGAAGGTAAAGTGAATGATGGAAGACGCACACATTATGGAGGAGTTTTCCGATTACGAAGCTGTATTTCAGAGGGCAGAGCAGATAGGAAGGGGGCTCAGAAATGGAGGGAGGTGAGCCAGGGAGCAGTGGCCAAGGTTGGAATCTGAGGGTACTGCTTCTGCTTGGAACTTTTACTTAAGGAAACTGATAGGAGAGGTAAGATAGAGTCATTGGTGGGGGATTATTTGTGGAGGAGGGGCATTGGGCATAGCAGATGGACACCCTGGGTTACTCAGCTGGAGAAACTCTTCTTAGTCTCAAGGGACAGACAGATAATCTATCTGATTTGGGTCTGACTTCACCTCCACCTGAAAATTTGTGTAATTGCTAAAAGCCTCATTGTACTCAGTTTTAAAAGGGAGATTAATACCTATGTCAGAGTTTTCACCAGTCTTATATGACAGGGTGGTATGTAAAAAATGCTTTAAAAACTGGGCCCTGAATCCCAGTAGACTGAGGAGGACCACTGGCTCATCAGTCTCATCAAAAGCTTCAGATTCTTCTTCCACCATCACTAAGTCTATGCCTCAGTTTCCTGATTGGGTAAATGAAGACAATACTCACCTTGTACAATAGTTGATTGAACAAATGAGAAAATGATATAAAGAGATTATAGCAATATATGGGATACAATGAACACAGAATATAGGCTATCACTGTTTTGATCATAATCATCATGATCATCTATGAACATTGTCATTATTGAAATATGTATTAATGAGCATGTATAGTTATAGAATTTTAAGCTGCATACGGCTTTATAAATAGTGTAATCAAACCTTTCATTTTACGGAAAAGGCAAGAACTAAAAAATTAACTTGCTGTAGGTCATATATTTGGTCTGTGGATAAACCCAGTCCAGACACCGAGGCTGTGAAATTTTGTGTGTGCACACAAAGACACACACACACAAAGGAAAAAAGAACATTCAGCTGGAAAGGTGGATTTTGAAATACACTCAGCAAATGGGATTTCTGTTCGTGACTGGTTGGCAGTGGAAATGACAAGTACCATAATTGGTACATGCCCCTGTGAAACTAGAGCATAGACCACTAGGCTTAGTAAAGGCCACGTGTCAACAACTTCCTCTTTTTTTCCATTCCAAGATAAAGTCTTTCAAGTTATATATCACTCTGGAAAGGCCATCTGTCTAAAACTGCTTAGGCTTGGGAAAGAGGTTTTTAGGTCAGATGTATTACTCTTATTCCACTTGAACTTTATTTTTTTCCTTCCTCTTGAGATCTGAAATTCAGTGATCTTTGTCACAATTCATGATCCCAAGGAAGTTTTAAAAATACTTAACACATAATAACCAAGAAGCAGAACATCTGAGTGAAAGATTTCTATATTTGTAGCTCTGGAAAATCAACAAACGAGAAAGCCGGTTAATTTTCAGTAGAGATGAGGACAGAGAGGACCTCTGTTTGTGCCCTTCTGGGGGTGACTTCCTTTGGAACTGCAGTTGCCCTGTTCTGAGAACTGTCCATTCCCCAGCCCTCATCAAAGAATGGGCCGTGATAGTCCCTTTTGAACTGCAAACCCACTCCTGCTGTTCTGGCTAATTAGATCAATGATAAATGCCTGACCTGAGATGGCCTGTCTTATTCTCTCCTTTGTGAATTTGACTCTCTTGGGAGTTAAAATAGCAGTTAGTCCCTAATAGCTGCTTGAAATATGTTGAATGGCAGCCATGTTCTGTGAGCACTGAGAAGCAGAAAAAGATGCTCAGCAGAAGGAGAAGGAGAAGTATACGTTGTATGAAATCACTGTAATTCTGAGATTGTTTACTACTAGAGCTAGTATATTCTCACTAATACAGATGAGGGAAAATGTGTGCTAACAAATAAATAAAGGATATATATACTTTAAAACCCAACAGTTCTATTTCTAGGTATATACCCAAGAGAAATTTTTATGTATTTGCAAAACGAAATAGAGATGAGATAAAACAGCAGACAACGTTAATCAATTAAGAATGAACAGATAAATTGTGATTCAGATGGATCCCTACACAGCACTTAAAGTAAATGACATAGAGGTATATCTATCAACAAGGTTAAGTATCAAAGGTATAATATTGAGTAAAAACAGATATAGAAAGATATATGAGTGTTAATTATGCCTAATTTTAAAATAGGATAAATATAGCATAATGTTATAATTGGTAAAAGTCAAGTGATGAATACGTGGTACCATATGAAATATTTCACACCTTAAAAAATAAACGAAATAAAGCCATCCTTAACACTTATCCACACTCATCTTCATCTACACTCACTGCTAAGGGCAACCAATGTTAAGTTTGGGTCAGTTCTTAGCCATTAATTTTTTAAGTCCTCTTTAAGAACGATTTTCAATAGTAGGGACAGTTTGACTGTAGAGTCAGACAGATTTAGGTTGAGGCTAACACCAATAGTTTTGCATTGACAACTTTCCTAAACCCTCAGAGTCTAAATTCCTTTATCAATTCATACAATGAATTGTAAATTTGATATTGATAAATAGACACAAGCACATATTAATATATACTATTCAATTTACATAAAATGATGCAGTGGTTGATATGCATGTTCAATACAATGTAGATATAATTTGTATCAATATTTTTCCCTGAATTCATAATTCAGGGAAAACAGAAATATTTTCTTCTGTTATTAAAAACTCTTCATTAATAATAATTTGAAAGCTGAATAACATTTTATTGAATAAATATTACATGATTTACTTATTTTTTAATAACTTTATTTCCAAATGTTTATTTCTATAAATTTCTCCTTAATGAACAGTTTTGTGCAAGTACAGTTGAGCCTTGAACAACACAAAGGTTAAGGGGTTACCATCTCTTGTGTGCGGTTGAAACTCTGTGTGTAACTTTTGACTCCCTTAAAACTTAACTACTAATAGCCTACTGTTGACTGGAATCCTTACTGATAAACACTCAATGAACACATATTTTATATATGTATTATATTCTGTATTCTTAAAGTAAGCTAGAGAAAAGAAAATGTTATTAAAAGGATATCTGCATTGCCATTCTCTGAATTAAGAACTGATAGTTTCTATCATTATTTAGCCCTACTTTTATATTTTAAAGTCCTTCAGGATACATTTATGATCCAATTAGACTGGGTTTAGCCACACAGAAAGGAAATTCAGACCTTGACTATTTGATGTTTCCAGTTCACCAAAGGTGATGAAGACTGTCTTGGGAGCAGCTTATTCCCAGAATTTGTGCATTCCTTGCTGCCCCTGGTGTGGAAACTTAAGTGGGATCACCAGACACATCGGCCCTGTCCAATTCTGCTGAACGGAGGTGGACTTGACATTTATCTGGCCAAAAACAGGAGCCAGAGAAATATGAATATACCAAAGTTGTTTAGCCTCCAACTTAAATTACATTAGTCAACTTATAGATATTCATATGATCACTTTTCTTTGTTAGATACTATATCAGCTAGATTCAGCAATATATCATTTGCAGTGCTTGTATTGGTTTAAAATATAAGATTTTAAGATCCTCCAACATTGTACTAAAGCATTTCAATAAAATAATCTGACTTTAAAAAAAAAGAAAATCATAAGAGAGATGAATATATTTACTCTTCATTGCGTGGAAGTGGATCATCATAATAGTCTTCACCCATGCTATCTTCATGTTGAGTAGGTTTGGGATGAGGAGGAATGGGAAGGGCTGGTCTTACTGTTTCAGGGTGACAGAGATATGAAGAAAATTCCTGTATAAATGGATTCAGACAGTTCACACCTGTGCTATTTCAGGGTAAACTGTCATTTTTTCCATAGTTTATATTGTGTTTAATGTAATATATCTAATTATTCAACAAAATAATCACTGAAATTAGAATTAATGGGTTAAATATCACTTATATTTTAAGACTTCTGATATGTATTTTCTTATTGCTCCATAACAGTTTTGGACATCTACAGCTCTGTGACCCTGAGTAAGTGATTTATTATAATATCCTCAGCCCTCGGTCAGTTTTATCTTCATCTTAAACTGAGATTTAAAATAGTAGCTATCACAAGATATGAGTCTAAAATGAAACAACACATGCAAAGAACTTAGGACAGCTCCTAAGACATAGCACTCAATAAATACTAGCTATTTTATGAATACTTTGCCTTGAATAATTGTATGTCTCTACAGCACCTTCTAGCTAATTTAATAGAAAAAAACAAACTCATTCTAGTTTTAACCTGTATTGCTCTGATTATAAAACATATGAATATATTTTTCATTGTTAGTCAACTGAAATTACCATATACAAAATTTTGGCAAAATTCTTTAATTTATGCCTATTTACTGAGGCGTTAGTGTTTATCTTGATTGATTCCACCTGCTTTTTATGTAGTGAGCTATCCACCCTTTGTTATATTAATGTAAATAGTTTTCTCCAGATATGCTTGAGACTTTTTTTTTTTCTAAAATAACTTTAAAATCATGACAGGAAATACAATTATAAGAAACAAATTTTGTTTTCCAAGTGCAATTACATTCTGATTTGCAAATGTAATGGGGCCAATTATTCCAGGCCTTTCCTGGACTCCTTTCTTCCCATCCCCTTAGTCTTGTAGGGCTTCCTTCAGTAATCTTACCTGTCACTCATTAGTATTTCATTAATGAACCTTGTTATC